TTGTATGAAGAAAAAAAAATGAGGAGCTTAATCCCAAGACCTTGGTTGCTACAATAAAGCATGATGGTGGAGGTGTTCTTGTGTAAGGGTGCATGTCAGCATCAGGATTAAATAATTTAGTATTTATTGATTGCACAATGAACCATGCTCTTTATTTAAATATTTTAAAAGATAAATTATCTGCCCAAAATTTGGAGACTGGAAACAACTTTACTTTTTATCAGGATAATGATTCTAAGCACGCAGCCCTTAACGTTCGCCGTTTGGGTGTCTATAATTGTCCACAAGATCTGAAAATACTACCTCAGTCACCAGATTTAAATCTGAAAGAACACCTCTGGAGAGAATTAGAGGTTAGGGTCCGAAGACACAACATTAAAACAAAAACTGGACTAAACACAGTAATAATGGGAGAATGGAGAAACATTGATGCAGATATTACAAAAAAAAAAAAAAAACTGGTGAACTCTATGATCAGACGTTTGAAAGCTGTCGTAAATACTGCAATACATACCACAAAGTACTAACTGACAACAATACTACAATATTTTCTAATATATGCAGCATTTTTTAATGGTACGAAGATTTTTGTGAAGTACATTTTTATTGATTTCCCCAAAAAAAATTTTAATATATGCATAAAATAATTAATGTAGTTTTGCTAATAGAAATTTATACATATTATTAAAAAATATTCATTCTAAAATATTAATTTTTATTAATGAATAAAGCAATATTTTACTGAAACTCGTAAGTGTCCGGACATTTTTGTGAGCCACTGTATATGTTCAAATGAGCTGACTGCAGTGGACATGGAGCACCATCTAGTGAATTTTAAAAAAAATCCAAAAGAACATGTATGTTTGAAAGTGCCTATTTGACACGCCCATCTAGAAAATTAATGCACCAACGCATCACCCGTCTGCTAGTGACATTTAAGACTGATGCATGTATAACACCTGCCGTCTGCAGAGGGTTTTCAGTTCAACAACATGCTGTCATAAAGGGTTTAATGCCGTAGCTTCGTGCAGAGTTGTTGGAGTTATAATCCAGTTAATATTCAGTATTTAACATTCCAGCAGGCGTGCGTATGTGCGAGATACACTAGATATTAATTTCGCATTTGTTTCGTAGGCCAGAGGGCACTATGACCGCTTGTCCTTGGCTAGTCTCTCCTCTTCATTCGCCCTTCTTTCAGTCGTTTGCTGGATTTCGAGGGGTTAATGAGAGTCTGCAGATTTACTATTTGTATTTCAGAAATACGCGCGACCGTTGAAGTAAGTTTATATCCAATTTCCTTTTTTATTATAGAAAATCTTTATTCTTTTGCATCTAAATCTTATGATTTTATATAATTTGTGTGCATAATTACTTTTAATAAAATACAAGCACTGTATACGTCACATACGCGTGACCACGTATGATACTTTGTTCTTTTCAGTTATGGTGAATAAAAGTAAAATGATCGACATGAATGACCCGAAGAATCTTGATATTATCAGAAATATGCTTTTATGTGACAGTGATGATGAGGAGGACATTACTTTAGATTACATTAGCATTACAGATGAAGAAGAGCGAATTTTAGAAAGAGAAGGTGATTCAGAATTAGAGATAAGTGCAGAGAGCAATTCTGAAGAGGAAAATAATGATGATAATTCTTCCGAAGTGTATATAGCTTATAACAAAAAAAAAAAAAAAAAAAAGAAGGTTGACAGAACTTATTCATAACACTGGAAGAAATGTAACCACAGACAACTGGTTTTTCAAGTTTTGAGTTAGTACAAGATCTAGATGTAAAAAAATTGTCATTTGTAGGTACTTTGAAAAAATAAATAAATAAACCTCGAATTCTGGATCAGTTAAGGCTGACAAAAGCTTGGGAACCCAATACGAGTCTTTCTGGATTTAGAAAAAATATGACACTTCTCTCCTATGTACCAAAACGTTATAAAAACGTCATATTGATTTCAAGTCTTCATGATGACGTAGCAATAGATGAAGATACCCAGGACCAAGAAAAGCCTGAGATTATCACATTTTACAATCGTACCAAAGGAGGTGTGGATATAGTGTACAAACTCTGTGCTTCCTACAATGTTGCCAAGAATACCAGGGTTGGCCTCTGTAGTTTTCTTCTCTATGCTGAATATAGCAGCAGTCAACAGCTACATAATTCATTCAACGAAAAATTACTTAGAAGGCAATATCTGCAAAAGCTCTTGTGAAGGAAACTGTTGAAAGAAGCCCTACCTCTCTTCAAAGTGAGCTGAAATTAAAACTGTTGAAACGAAGAGCAGAATTAGCTGTTGTTGAAGAAATTACTTCAATGGAAAAAAGATGCAAACCCTGCCAAAACAACAAGCGCACTAGAATTACGAGATTCAGCTGTGAGACTTGTTTAAATTTCATTTGTCTAGAGCACTGTAAACATATTTGTTAAAACTGCAACGATGCAATAATGTGATTATGAAATTGATTTTTTTATGTAATATTTAATGTGTTTTTCCACTTATTAAAAATATAAAAGTTCAGTTGAAATATTGGCAATTTAATTTTGTTTTACTTTCAACTTAGTTTGGTTAGTCCTTTTTATATTGTTTTTGTGTTTTATACTTATTTTATTTTCCTTAATTTAAAGTTAATATTGTTTAACTCAATTGTACTTATTAACATTTAACTATTTACAAAATAATTTTAATATTTTTGCTCTGGAAAATTTATTTTTTATAATAGCGTATCTAGGAAATACGCGCAACCTTTCTTGTTGGTGCAGAAGGTGCACCCGCTGGAAGGTTCATATAAAACCTTAGCGCACGCCAAAAAATTCATATGGATAAAAAATTTTGTATACAAATTTATCTTGAAATTGCTAAATTTAGTACCACATAATAAATGAAATCCTATTTCAAAAAGGGAAAGAAGTCAGGTGAAATATTTTATGAACTCTTCACTCTCAATAAAGAAATAATTTCAAAATATTAAAGTTTCAGTTGAGCCAAGGTCTTGTGCCATATTAAGTAGGAAAGAATTCAAATGATAATCCTATAAATACATATATGTCAAGGAATCAAACATTATTTCTTCAAAATCTTAATTCACATTCAAACAGAAAGAAATGTCAGATGAGTAAAATTAAAGGCTCATTTGCTGATTTGGGTTGAAATTAAGCTCTTTCAAAGACCAAAATTCCTAAGGACTTCAGTATTTTTAAGGACCATACAATCCCTGAATAGTGTCGTTAACGAGCCAGTTGAACATCTGAATGTCACAATGTGGTATTCAGCAACGAGGCATCGGGGAAATAAGAGCCGATCCAACTACTATTATTGAATGCCACACTTCTCGTCAATATGCAATAATGATTTAGGGTACAGTAAGTCATGACATCAGATCATCGGAGGCAAACCGATATGTTGATGAGGTGCTGTAGCTGATTATGCTAGTTTACCTTCAGTGGCTGCAAACTGGTATTTTCCAACAGGATACTGCACATGCCATGTTCCATTGTTCCTTTGTTCCTTGGTCTGTGATGTCCCCTGATCTTTCGCGGCTGGGATGTGACTGGCTGTTGCTTATCTGCTCTGCCCCAGCCATTAATTTTGGAGGAGAGTTCAGAGCATATAAGCTTCCATCCCTCACGACACTAATTCAATCTGTATCTTATAGGATTGCATCTTATATAGCCGCAAGAGGAGGTAGTTGTACATTTTACTGATTCCCCATATATTTCAGCACTGTATTCATTTATCTTTCTGCAAACAAGATCACTTATTTATGTATGCATGCTCTGTCTGTGTATCAATTAACATCACATTCTACCTAATCTTTCATGGTGTTGCATTTTCTATGTTGGGCAGTATATCGACCATTGAGCATAACGCTAGACTCAGGCTTTTATTAGGGGCACTAAATGGTGTAACTTTCATATGCTTTTAGAAAAGATCAAGAATTTGCTTTCATTTAAATCAAGTCTGTAGGAAAACGTAAACGCCAGTGTAATTTCTAGAAATCACATGTATATGACTTTCCTTGCATTATTTTGTCAAGGAAGTGTAATACATTTGGGATGATGCATTTTGTTGCAGCAATTTTTCAGTTGCAGAATAGAAGAGCTAATATTTTTAAACATATACCTACACAAAAAACTACTTTTTTTAAGCACAAACAGGCCTATATAGCAACTTCAAAAAACATATGATGCTCACTTCTTAAAGAAAAGAAAATTTGCTACCTATATGAGCACTTGTACAAAAGTTACTTCAAGTATTAATTTTCTGTTAAAAGGAACATATAAACAAGAATTTCTTTCGTTCTTTTAAATGTAAATATATTTTGACAAGTTGAATTAATTAATGATTGCATTTTCACTTAATGAGATACTGTTTAGAATTACTTATTTGAAAATCCCTTTCTTTATAATTTTATCATTTAAAAATTGCTTTGGTTTTTGAAATAACTCAAAATTCTCCCAGTTTCTGAGTACAGTATATTAGCACCTCTGTTTATACACAAATTAAAGAGTGCTAATAATTAAGAGAAAAAGGCTTTTCAGATAATATTTAGTTACTTGTAAATTTTTTATTAAAGTTTGTTTTTTACATTAAACACACTGTGTAGTCATTAAGTTTTTTTGAAGCAGGAGCCATAAAAATGTGCAGTGCCCTTGCTAGGACTTGACCCTGGACCTCTCAAATGCATGTCGAGTATGCTTCAAGTTACAACATGAAGGTGTGCAGAAAGGAGGGAGAAAATACCTTATATACTCCGTCTTTTAAAGGGCAGCTGGGGATTTGAGAAACCAATCACTAAATCCTAATGGTGATGAATTATCGTCCACCACCTTTTTTAGTTCAAGTGCTACTTGTACAGTCATTAGGTTTTTTAAGTAGTAGACATGAAAAATATGCTATACCGTCGCTGGGACTCGAACCCTGGACGTATCGAAAACGTATTAAGTATACTTCCAGTGAAGGCATTGGAAATGAGAGAGAAAATACTTTCTGACACATTTTGTTTTAATGGCCCTTCAAAGGTGACATTTTTATTAAAAGCAAATAAGAGGAAAAAGATTAAATGTTTTTAATGATACAGAGAACTTGTCTTAACAACAGTAAGAATGTGATTTTTACATGACTTATCAAATTATTAGTATTTTATTTACAAATAACACTAAATTTTAACATATGTCACAATATACAAAATGTACACAGTATACAAAAATGTCTTTCAAAGCACACATCAGATTTTGCTTTCTTGTTTATAAACCTGGCATAAAATATGCAATACTATCCAATGTTCTTCGGGTTACTTCTTGAGGACAGCTATTTAAAACTGGTGTTTCTGAAGTTAAGCAAATAAGTGGACCAATCACACACAAAATTGTATCAAGAAGAACTGAAAAAATGCCAGATACAGCCAACTGACCCTGAAAAATACTGACTGGGTTAGATATGCATTTATCTTTACTATGATACAGTAAATATATAAATGTTGTATTATGTTTTAATGCCAATAAGATAATAAAAAAACTTAATTTAAATTATATTTTAATACTATATGTTATTCAATTTTAACAGAATTTCCATACACATGCTTATTATATAGTATACATTGATAATTAACTGAAATGATTTAGAAAATGTTCTTTCAATCAAAAACTCTAAGAGTACTGGGTGTTTTAATAGGCAGCATCCAAAATACGTATAAATATGCTATTGATAGGAACTTTTCACCATGAACCACATCAAACATTGTCACTTGTTGCTAACTTCCATGTGATAAAACCAAGATGGATTCTGCGAACTGGCACTTACAAGATGAAGAGTATCATTAAATTCTTTCAAGAAAAAAAAAAACTTTTTACGATATTAATGTTTGCTTGTAGCTACTGTCTTATTAATAGAAAATTACACATTATCATTAATAGTTGAGGCTTCATTAATTTAAAATTACAGGTAGAAAGTGACTTAAAAATTGCACAACCTTAACTTTACAAAATGGATATTAATGAGGAATTGTTTCAATGGATGGTATATATTCAAGTAACGCATCCCTCTAATTCTGGTTGCTTTTATGGTACTAGCTTTAAAAACATTTTCTGCAAGACTGAAATGGCATTTTTCCATGCAGAACAATTTTTTATGACTTAACATTACTTAAAGTTCATAATACATGCTTATGGAAAAGTTGTTAAAATGTCTAAAAAGATCTTCCAAGTGTGTCAATCACAGGACCTAATACGACAATGATTTTCTGTTTGCTAATTCAATTTTGTAAAAAATCTGATATGGACACCACGACTTCCTTGTACAGCCTATTAAATTATGCGCATTTTTTGCTGCATTTCATTTACTATTTTTCCCCAAATTTCATTAGACATATATTTCTCATTCAATCAATTCAGTTCGCACTTCGTGTCAAAGGAAAAATACATAAAACTCAAAACATCTTCATTAAAAATTGTAAAATACAGAAAAACCTAAAACACCAAACAGTTAAAAACCATTAAAAAATTGTAACAACTAAAATTAAGAGTTTAAATTAATTAAAATTAGGCAGAAAGATAGATTTTTCGGTGCACAAAACTTTTGGCTCCACACTGAAAATGATGTAGTTCATTATGCTTCTAAGTTCCAAATGTAAACAAATGGCATCATCAGGGATAGTGGAACTTAAACAACTTTTAAATTGTTGATAATTTTACGAATACTGCATGCAGATTAACTAAAGGCATAAAACCTTAACCAGAACATAATAATATAATTCAATCACTTTTAAAACAAAAAATGCACAATTTACCAACATACAAGAATAAAAAATCTTAGTCCACCAGACCTGATAACAGAGTGTGTGTATATATAAAAATATATTTATATACATTTGATGCAACTAAAAAGGGAAGTCCACATGTACATGTTATAACAGTACCATATACAAAATTTCAATGTTCTGAGGCTACTCCTTGAGTTATGTGAGATACATACATTCGCCACAAAAAAATTCTCTTCTGAATCCATTTTGGGAAAAACAGTCTTTTATTCTGTTTGTATGTACAGATATAACGTAAAGACATCGTTCAAGTGGAAAATGGGTATTTTCATTCAAATGCAATACCCGAAATTTTTCGAGATTATAATACTTCCTTTACTTCGTATAAAGAAGTAAAAATGGAGGCACTCATAAATAATGAAGGGCTGCCCACCTGTTTTGAATCTTGGAAAAATGGACAAAGTTAGGAAAAGATGCTACAGTCACCAACAAACAGTATACGAAAGCATACACTGCAATCAAATTTACAGTATGGGATTCCAAAAAAGACATTAAACATGTTGAACTTTCATTCTTATACCGTTTAAGCAGCTGTATTACTGTCAGTAGCTCGGTTCACTTCAGAGCAATGGAGCAGAAAATCTTCATTCCATGTTTTTTATGGATGAAGCTTGATTTCGTTAAGTGGATATGTGAGTAGTGAAAATACACAAATACAGAAGATAGAAAATCCACATGTGTTTCAGAAAAGACTTCAATATTCATAAAAAAATAGGTGTCTGATGTGCTGTGTCACATTGAAAGATTGGGGATCCTTTTTTTTCCCTCCCCCTCCCCAACAGACAGCAAATGGAACTGTATATACCAACAATACACAGAAGCTTGTAGCATTACTTGAAAAGGATGAGCACTTCTGCTGTTTTAAACATGATGGAACAACCTACCACACCTCAATTGAGACAATATCATTTTTCTTACACATTTTTTTTGCTGATCACTTCATTTAAAAAGAGCTTCCACAGTCTCTTAATTTGTCACTTGCAGATTTCTTTCTATGGAGTCACTTAAAAGCTTGTTATGCAAACAATCCACACTCTATCAATAAAATAAAAGTAAATGTTGAAAATGTATCAAATTTAGCATTTGTGCACTGAAAGAGGTGGCCTTAAATTTAAGAAACCGATTTGTGTATGTATTCAAGGAAAAGGGTCACATTTTGCATATTCATTATGGTGATGTTCAAAGTTTTGCCATTCTTATTCCTCAGAATAATCCCTCTTTCAATTCGGTTCATGTTTGTTCTATGATTAATTTTAGTGTTTTTGTAATAAAATATTTTTCCACTTATACAATAATTTACACATTTTACAAGATAATTTATACAGTATATGCATATATTCAGATATATGTATATTTATAGAATATATAGAGAGTTATTAAGCTAGTGATTTAAAAGGGCATTACATATGATACACAAAACATTGACAATGAGCCGAAGGAGCTCAGGCCTAATGCTTATCAACCTGTACACAGGTAGTGCTCCATCTCCGGTTTTTATCTATAAACCGATGTAGCGATCGCGCAGCCCAAGACAAACTTGACAGTACTCGTACAGTCTCTGACATGCCTGAACGGATCACCAAAAAATTGATGGCTCTAGTCCTGTGAAGACACTGATTATGTTACCCAAAAGCCAATTCTAAGTACAGACCTTAGCCAGAATACCAAAGGTTGGTCCCCAACCAAGGTTGTACCCAAAGGCTACCCCCTAATCAGCCCCCAAAAGGAAAAAAACATTGACAAATGAAACACTGCCTAAAGATCAGAAGTATGAAACATTACATTAATTCTTTTTTAAAGTGAATTTTTTTTTAATATTATTTTGCCATGAGCAATATTAATATATACTTATTAACTGGGCATTATGTATGCACCATATTAATCAATTTGTCTGCAATATACACAATGTGACATTTTAACAAATATTGTTTCAAAATTATATGTTGAAAGGAAAAATAACTTGCCTCATGTTCAGTTAATCTTTGCCCTATCACACTAAGTGAATCACCAAGAAGCTTTAGATATGCAGCAGAATCTATAGCTGAAGTTCCAAGCACTCTTGACCCTTCTGTAATTCCCTTTAAAACATCATCATTCACACTTGAAGCACGACTAGATCCTTTAGGTGATGAACCACTTGAAGGACCAGTGCTTATTAGTCCACTAGAATTTTTTAAAGCAATTCTTTTAGCCTTTCTTCTCCATGCCTATAAGAAAATTAATAATTTACAAATGCAATCAAATCTCAATATATATTAATTTTAACTTTCCTTGATAAGTCAAATTTTCAGTTACTCAGATACTTTCTTATGCTTTCTGGCTTTAACTGTACCTTTGATTCTTTCATTCAGTATACTATAAAGGGTAATCCACATTTAAGATAGCAAGATTCAGACCTTATCAGCAATTACAAATGCAGGTATCAACAGTTTTTCGTCTTTTAAAATTAAAGATCATAATGTGACAGAAATGAACTTTTGAGGGCTCAAAATCTTAGCACTGCACTAAAAGAAAAATTATGCCACACACGCTAGAATAATGCAATGTGAGTGGAAAAGACCATATTTACACATCTCTTTCAATCAAAGTCACACCTTATCAGCAGTTACAAAACAATTAGAAGAAAATGCACTTCCATTTGGAAAATCACAGAATTTTCCAGATGACCTAATTTAAATGGTTATATTTAATTAGATAAGTGACTAGATGAATTTGCCACTGAAAAATTTTTACACAGCTTGAAATTTTTATAGAGCTGCAGTTAGTTTGCCTCGAAACTGGTTTTGAGATATCATCTTTGAAAAATGGCTAAGAACTTCTCTTTAGTTAAAAAAGAAAAGAAAAGATTTAATAAACTTAAAGAAATTTGACAAACTTAGGGTAGCATTCCAAGAAACTCTACAGCTCACACTAATAAAGATGACCTGAACAGAAACTTATTTAAGACAGAAGTTTTGTGCAAATGGCACAGAACATTTACAAAATGTATTGTAAAAAAAATTGGATTGAAGAGAAATGACACTATCATAATAAACACATAGCAACAAAATTTGCTTGGGACATGTACTTAAATGTAATTAGAAAAAGTAAAACAATGGCAATTTTTTCTGTTCAAATGGATATGCATCACCAAATTGTCAAAATAAACTGAAATAAATTTATCATCATTCATTCATTTGTAGTTACATTGTAGTTAAATATTTCATCCACTGCTACTGATATCATATTAAAAGAACTAAAATTTGATTCTTCAATATAATTTATTAATTAATGCTAAATTTTTTCCAAACTTTTACTCAATTTTTGTGTGAAATATTTCCATGAAACTTATCAGAAAATTATCTCAGATGGATATCAAAAACAGATACAGTCAAAAGTCGTTAATTCGGACACCCATAATCCGGAACGATCTATAATCCGGACCTCAAAGCTACAAACTTACTGCGCATGTGTCGCCTTGACGCCTGCGAATATGCGTGTGCGCATGCCCAAAATATGTTTACGCATGCCCGTTTAATGCATAATGGACGGTATAAGCTAAGCTAAAATTATCTAATTCAGTTAATGTTGCAGATTGCGTTGTTACTTAATCTTCAAATTGGATCCGGCTTATTATTTTTTGCAGACTGTTAGAGCAATTTTATAAAAGTAAGCTTGAACTTTCGATTATTTCAAATAGAATTTCCAATATATATTTACTAATATATAAAGGATCTACAAAGTGAAAGTATGTGTTTCGAAGTCCATTAAACAAAAAGTGGGAATTTCTGCAAAAAATGGATAAAAGCATATCCTTTGTTTATCTAACCATTCCGAAATCTGTTTATCAATTTCACGCTGCTCTGCGGGGGAAGGGAAACGACACGGCGCGCAATGAATTGGAAGTTGATCTGTCAGCACTATCCTTATCTTCAGGGCAGATGTTTTTATTTTATTTGGCTTATAATTCTTCACTAAATGTAGTATTTCATCTCGATGTACTCGGTCTTTGATATGATTTAAATCAAATTCCTTGTCATTATAATTTGATTCTGATAGCGAAGAAAGTAAAGTAAACAAATAAATATTAAGCTTTTTTTTTTTTTTTGTAAATTTTGATACCCTTTAGATCATAATTGTTCTTTATTTCATAAATTATGGTTTCATATTTTTAATTTTATAATTTCTACATGCCATCTTACCAGATTTAAACTGATGATCTAATTCGGAAAAATCAATAATCCGGAATCGCCGAAGTCCCGACGAGTCCGGATTAACGACTTTTGACTGTACAACATAAGGCAAAAATAAGCTGGACATCTAGATTTCATAACAAGCAAAAAAATTCTAAATTACATTAAATATTTTAGGTTAAATCCCTAAATTATATAGCTAGAATTAAATCATCAGTTTAAAAGTATCTCTCTCTGTAGTATTATTATTTAACAGCATTAATTTGGCATTTATTTTACTTGTGATGCAATTCATATTACTATTATTATAACTTAAAATAAGAGCTTGGTCAGATTGAGAAACATGCATTACAAACAAGCATGCAAAATTAAAAAATAAATAAATAAATAAATAAAATAAATCATGTGAAATTAAGAAAAGTGTAAAGTCTTTTTTATATATTTACTATAAAAATTATTATTAATCACATATTATTCCGATATTTCATTTCTTTATATCCAAATAAACAAACATTAAAAATATATGCTAAAAAACCAACCATTTTCTCTTTGTCGGGCAAAGCTTGCCAAGTTTCTCCCAATTTTTTACCAATGTTTCCAAAACCTAAAATTTAAACACAGTGTAAGTTTTCATTCAACTCAATATAAAATAAAAAAGCAGAACTGAAGATATTCATTTAATAGTTTCAGATACCTGTTATATCCATTAAACTAAAAAATGTTGGATAGAGTAGACTTTAAGGTACCCATTGTATTATGGTGAAGTTGTTGTTTGATTTATAGCCAAGTTGTTGTTTTATTTATGGTAGCCTGAGTAGTTGAATGGAAACCCTACTGTGATGTAATCAGGTGCATGATTCTGGGAAATTTTGAATCATAGGATGTTTTGTAAGCATTTTTGTGGTGTGTGTTAAAACCGTTTAGATGGATTTGAATGGGTTTGTAGGAAGAAAGGTTCAGATGGTTAGTATGTGAAGCGTTCAATCAGAAAGAGTACCTGGTTTGAAAAAAGTCATTTGAGTATGATTGATATTTTGATTTTTACGTGGCTCTGGGTGTACGAAGCGAACTTGAAAATCATGGTAAGTGAATACTTGCTTTTGGTAGTGCTTAAACGTATAACATGTTTTTCCTTTTTTATGTTATTTTATTTTTTGGTTTAAAATGTATTTTATTGAGATTATGTATTTTTTGTTTGCCTATATTGTAGACTTTGGTGCTCCTTTGACTTTTTAAGTGAATCGATGTGTACATGGACAAAGTAAAGGGAGTGCGTAATGCAAGTTTGTGCAATTCTGGGATTTTTTTTTTTAAGTGAAAATAGGTCGATGTGTACATGGATAAAGTTAAAAGAGTGCGCAATGCTATTTTTGTGCAATTCGTGGATTTTTTTCCACGAATCCGGCTGATTCCGGATTAGGGGGTTTTCCAGATTATAGATCAATTTAAATCTGGTAAGATGGCATGCAGAAATTATAAAATTAAAAATATGAAACTGTAATTTATGAAATAAAGAGCAATTATGATCTAAAGGGTATCAAAATTTACAAAAAAAAAAAAGCTCAATATTTATTTGTTTACTTATTAAACATTTCTTTCAATGTAAGTTGTTTAAGTTGCTTTGTTTTTTGTGCTATACTTTATCTTTAATTCTATAAACAGACGTAATTTCTTGTTCACTTACAAAATTCCACTGTTCAATTCAAGTCCTGTAATTGCTGTGTCGAGAATACCAACTAACTTGTCAATCGAAATTTTTTGGTTTTCAATAACCTCTCTGTCACTTTCTTCACTATCGGAAGCAGTACGGCAGCTACAGAATTGGAAACTCTTTTTGACATAATCGAAAGTTCAAGCTTAACTTTTATAAAATTGCTCTAACAGTGTGCAAAAAATAATAAGCCAAATCCAATTAGAAGATTAACAAACAGCACAATCTGCAACATTAACTGAAATGCCTTAGAATCAGTAAAAATAATTTTAGCCTAGCTTATACCGCTCATTATATACATTAAACACGCATGCATAAAGCATACAAAAAAAATGTTTGTGGCTTTGAGGTCCGAATTACAGACATTATACTGTAATAGTAACATTTTCGTATGGACCGGAGATTTTGAACTGCTGTGTTTGGTTACACGTGCGTAATGTTTTACAAAAGTGGTGCCTGAAAGTTTGCTTAGTATTATAAATGAGTATATTATTCCAGATACGACTATAATTTCTGGAAAGAGTACATAAAATAGAAGGAACGGATTTATGGCTTTCTTGTACACTATTATACTTATACTATATATATTTATCCACTATTAACAGCGGATGAGCCAAAACAACCAAATGTTTAATTTAATTGCTTACATCGATGAGATGCTGGTGAAAGGCATTAACGTATGCACGTGAAAAAAAGGTATGTTAATGAATTGACGTTTTGCCTATTTATTGGTGTCTGTGCATTAATTTTTATTAAAAGATATATTGTTTTTATGTCAGGAAATATGTATTTTTGATTACTTATTACTCTGTGTATTTTTTGTTATTTGTTCATGTCTGTGTGTTAAGACAGCAGCGAATTTTTTCTGGTTAACATGATAGTTTTAACTTTGTTTTAGCTTTCTGATTTTGTTTGAAATAGATCGATGTGTACATGGAGAAAGTGAAATTAGTGTGCAATGCTTAGTTTATGCAATTTTCTTTTTTTTTTTCCTTTTTTTTTTATGTAAAATACAGTACACTTCCGATTATCTGTAGAATTGGGTGGCGCGGCCGCCGCGGATGAAAAAAATCGCGGATAATCCGAAAAAAAGCTAAAAAAGTATAGCAAAAGAAAAAACAGTCATTCCAACTTTCTGTTTGAAAAATCGTTTTATATACAATAAAATGTACGATAAACAGCAGAAAATGTTTAACTAACGCTTGATATTTCAGTATATCACTCAAAACTAACCTAAAATGCATTTTGTTAATAAAAACAGAAAAGTGCTTTGTATACTTATGAGAGGCGTCAAGGATACACAGAAAAATTAATACATATGTACTGTTTTAATACTGTAGGGTATTATGTAATTACAAAAGCATAACTGTAAAACTACACCTTTTTGAAGAAATCAATCATTTGTGTTTGCTTCTTTCTTTGGAAGCATTTCCTCTTGATCCGAAATTGCATTTTTCGTAGTATAAGTTTCTCGGCCAACTCCGCGTCGTCTTGTTGTTCCAAATAGCTCAGCAATCTGTCAACTTGTTGCAAAGCCGCTTCGTGAGTCTTCTGCATCTGCACAGTGGGCTCTTCTTCGCTTTCACTTCACGGTCCTTCATTCTCGATCCCTCCCCTTGATTTTTTCACAATTTTGAATCTGTGAAGAGTTCGAAGTCAGGTTTGTTGACGTCACACTCCAGCCACTCCTTAATGTTTTCAGCATCGACGTTCTCACCACCCGGAACTGTTTTCACCATATCAGCAAGAGTTGCTGTGGGTATGTCTACATCTTCATTCTCTTCTTCACAACTCAAAGGGGTTAGGTTGTTGTTGGCTTCAACATTAGGCATGAGTTTTCTCCATAATTTTATGAGGGTTGACGGTTTCACCGAGTCCCATGCAGATGCAATATCGTAGATGCTGTCGAAGATTGTGTAGTGTTTCCAAAACTCTTTCAGATCATAACCTTCTTCAATTTTGGTCATTAGCAGCTTGGTTCCGTATGTTCTCTTCATTGCTGCAATGACTCCTTGTTTCATGGGTTGGATTAGCGCAGTAACGTTTGGGGGAAGAAACTTTGCAAAAATTTGTTCATCAGAAGACTTTAGCACACTTGTTGCTGGGTGAGAAGGTGCGTTGTCAATCAATAGCACAGCTTTTTCAGGCAGGTTTTTCGATTTTAAATGTTTACGCACTTGAAGAACAAAGATGTTTTCGAACCATTCTTGAAAAATGTTTCGGTTCATCCATCCTTTTTCTTTTTTTTTTTTTTCTTTTTGGTTAAAGTAATCAACGGGCAAATTTTCTATCCTTGTGCCTTTGAAAGATCTCGGTTTTTTTGACTTTCCAATGACAACAAGTCAAAGTTTACGTCCACCGGTAGCATTACTGCAAGACCTGATGGTGATCCTTTTTATAACCCGTCACTTTACTTTCATTTTCCAATGCTAAAGTGCAAGTGGGAAGACATTTCCACAAAAGTCCCGATTCGTCGGCATTGTAAATTTGTTCAAAAGATAGCTCTTTTTTTAAAACAAATTCTTCAAATTCATGGTGGAAATCGTCGGCTGCTTGTTGGTCACCACTAAGTTTCTCCCCATGAAGTACGATTTCTCGAATTCCATGCCGCTGCTTAAAACGAGTCAACCAGCCAGAAGACGCATCAAAATTTCCTTTCAGACCTAACAACTCAAAAAAGGTTTTTGCCTTCGCCGCAATGATAGGACCATTTACAGGATAATGATAGGACCATTTACATTACCCTCTTTTAGAACTTGAGCTAACCACTCTGTCAATGCCGTGTCTAGCTCATCAAAGGTTAGTTTTTTGCGTTTTCATTGCGGAAGCACTGTCGGACATTGATGCAAAATTCACCAGTTTGTCTTTTTCTTTAGAATGTCATGCACTGTTGTTTCCGTGATTCCATAATCCAATTCCATCTGCTGCCTTGTAGCGTTGTTTGCTACTTTGGAAATTAATTCTAGTTTTTGCGCAATTGTCAACACAACCTTCTTTCATTTTCCTGACATTTTAAATCGGTAACAAAAAACACAAAACCAAAAAGCACAAGGACTGAACACAGTAAAAGATATGAAATTAACTCGGACCAGTTCGCAAACACTATCAGGCTTAAACTAACAATGGCGAGTGGGAGGAAGTGGACGTGTCAGTAAGCAGTAAGATTAAGACGAGAAGGGCGGTGGAGCGGGCACTGCAAGGGTGAGTAAGAAATCACTTACTCATCAGAGGGGCCGAGGGGAAGGTTCCGAGAAAACCTGGGATATTTTTGCTATAAATAAGCATGATGTTAGCAAATTTAATGTTTTGCTCAGTTTTGTGAACATTTTTATTTTCTTTGCTTTACGCTTGTAAAAAAACGTTTGTGGGGCAGATGTGGATAAACCGCTCCACGGATAATCAGGAGTTTACTGTAGATCACTGTGTACATGGATAAAGTTAAATTAGTGAGCAATGCCTAGTTTACGCAATTCTCTGATTTTTTTTTTTTTAGTTATAATAGACCGATGTGTACATGGGCAGCAAGTTTGTGTAAATGTTTGATTTCTTGTTTTGGTTTTCTGTAGGGGTAGAAAGATCGGCACCATCTTAAAATTGGTGCCGATGTTAACGTCAAAAAGGATCAGCACCACTTTGAAATTGGTGCCGATCTTGGCATAAAAATATCAACGATTTGCCAAGCGGAACACTAACTGAGTAAAGATTAACATATCTTAACATCTTAAGTATGAATTATTTTAACAGTTTAGATTTTTTTTTTTAAACATGCAGGAATTCAGGAAAGAATATGCAAAATACAAAAAGAAAAAGTTTTAATCAAAGATATCCATACAATTCATTATATCCAATATTCATACTTTTGGAGGTTCTCTATAACAGTATAAATTAACATAAAGTATATAGGTACCTATCTAGGCTTGACACAAATGTTAGTTTGTTAAACTGATGATTTAACTATCAGCTGGTTCCAATATAATGGAATTCGACTTACTGAATAAATATTTCTAAAACTACATAATGCATAACATCTATTTATGAACATATCACATACATTATATTTATGAACAATCTATGACATGTATAAAAAATATAAAAATTAAATCACAATAAAAAACTAAATAAATCACTAACCAGTATTTCCCATGCTTGCTACAACTTTCTTTCTATTTTCAGTACACCACAGCACATAAGCAGTCAGAGGCTTTGAGTTGCCAACCTATTTGAGTTAAAAATCACAAATGTAGTCTATAGCAAAGATTAATCATTTAATAAATTCTTACAAAATTCAGAAAAAAAATCATAGATATTTTATTCATTTTTAAATTAAGCTATTTTATTATTATTTAACAAACATTTAAAAACAGAACTATATGTAGCTTGGATTAGTAACTGGCTTGCAAATAGAGACACAACTTTGAAATTCTGAAGAAATAATCTTCATTAACAGAGGAAATTTATTCATTATGCAGAAAATTAGATACATATGGAACAGACAGTATGGTTAAATAATGACTTACAGCTTGAAAAAATACTTTATGGTTTTAAATGCAAAATTGTAAAGGCTTCAACAGTTTGATCAATATATACACTAAATGAATAAAAGTTACAATCAAAATGCCCTTACAACACATTTGAATATCATATACACAAAAGAAGATCATAAAAAAAGATCTTGTAGAGCTGTTGATTGGACTACATGAAAACTCACTATCATCTCAGATAAATACTGATCCCTGTGGTCAGCTGTCAACAACAATGGATTTGTAAAAATAGATATGTATGAAATGAATACTGATCCTTGTGATCAGCTATCAACAGCAATGGATTTGTAAAAACAGATATGTATGAAATGAAATCTTTGCCAAGCAGATATGTACATGACACAGGACAGAGTGATAATGCAACAAACTACAACAGATTCAACAGCTTCATTATCATTTATTCAGGAATACATACTGCCAGGTGAACAACATCTATCTTTAACGTCTAAATATCATCAACTACATCTGAAAGCATACCAAAGAATCATAGACAAGCACAGAATGGCAATACATCAATACAACTTACTACACAGAGCAAACAAAACATGCCATGGTTCTAAGAACTGATGAGAAAAATTACATGAATAAATGTTAAATACTACCACTATCTTCTAAGCTGACTGCTGGCAGTTGTTTTTAGCATGAATAATTTCCTGACACTTTTGAGAAATACTTTGAATAATCCTGTAGATGTCATTCTTTTGATATTCAGTTCAAAACTATGAGCTCAAGGTTCCAAGCTATTACAGATATAGGTAAAAGTGGGCAAGGCACCAGAAATTCATCAAAGATCACACAGGTACCACTATCTTCTAAGCTGACTGCTGCCAGTTGTTCTTAGCATGAATAATTTCCTGACACTTTTAAGAAATACTTTAAATAATCCTGTAGATGTCATTCTTTTGATATTCAGTTCAAAACTATGAGCTCAAGGTTCCAAGCTATTACAGATATAGGTAAAAGTGGGCAAGGCACCAGAAATTCATCAAAGATCACACAGGTACCACTATCTTCTAAGCTGACTGCTGGCAGTTGTTCTTAGCATGAATAATTTCCTGACACTTTTGAGAAATACTTTGAATAATCCTGTAGATGTTATTCTTTTGATATTCAGTTCAAAACTATGAGCTCAAGGTTCCAAGCTATTACAGATATAGGTAAAAGTGGGCAAGGCACCAGAAATTCATCAAAGATCACACAGGTATAATCCCGCCACACTAACTGTGAAGTTCCACCTTAGTTTTGAGAAAACACACCCCAGAAGAGTAATCCAAAGGCTTCCCATTCCTCTTTCCCTAACATCAATCTCTCAAGAGGACGTCTGGCTTGCCATACATGTTGAGTGTCCCCTTATTGCACAGATACTAAGAAACATCCATGCCTTCACCAAGATTCAAACATAGGCCCATTGGTACAGCAGTCATCATCACTAACCACTATATCAGCCCTGGTGACTCAAAACTTTTACATAAAGCATAAAACAAGACTTGCTCCTTCAGCATCATGTGTATTGTGTATGCTAAAATATCTACCTGGCTGTCAATACAGACTCCAAACTCAAATTAGTATACAGACATCTCATATTCCATACTGTGATTTGCAACTGCACGCACAGATTTTTCTGAGGGATAAGTTACTAAAAGATAAGTTTAGACCAGAACATAATGCATGGTTAGAAACCTAATCATAAGATAATAAGAAGACTTGCTGGGAAACCTTAAACATGTATATGCAAAAAAAAAAAAAAAAGTATTATACAACTGCCCACAGCAGTAATAGGATGGAAGGTTTCTATGTTAAGGTATGGAAAGTTAGACGATATGCATCTACCACAAGGAGCTATTGACTATAATGGAAAAGGTACTTTTGCCTGTACTGGAAGTGCTACCCAATAAGTCTTATTCTGGACCATCAGAAGTTTGCATGGCTAGATAAAAAAATTATGCAACACAAATTCCTTTTAGAGACATGTAATGAATTAGGGATAAATGTGCAGACCCTTGAAATTGAAGAGACAGTGCTTTTCATGCAGCAGATACTCTACATCCCAGCACATTAGCAATCATTACTTTCTTCGGTCTTTACTAAATTGCTGATTGGAGAATCCTGCACCCGTACCATGAGCATACATACAAGTACAGTAAGTAGCCTGATGATTATCACACAGTATCCAACTTTTACTCAATGGTATCTGCAAAAGATTGAGGTGGACTTCTTTTTTTTTTTTTTTTTTTTTTTTTTTTCTTTCTTACTTCCATCTTATTCACAGACGAAGTATACAACACTTCATTAGTGAAAGGTATTACAATATGTATGAAACTGAGGGAAAGAACTTATTTATTAGGCCTACATTTCCTACCTGTTTGTTTGGATGGATGATATTAAAAGTTTTTTTTTGGCAGCAGTCTTGCCCAAATTATTGAATAATGAACAGATCCAGGAGTTATGGCATCTTAATATATCGTTTCAACATGAAGAGGCTTCTAGCCCCCCCCCCAACTCTCAAATATCACATTCCCAGTGATATTCGGGAATATATGAATATGACATCTGAAAACATCAGTGGATTGGAAGTGATCGTCCTATCCACTAGCCTACATGATTACTGGACATATCTTCCCAGACTTTTTTTTCTTTTTTGAGTAGGCACATGAAAGATCTGAGATATGAAACGTCTGGTGGCCTGTTGTACATATGTACATAGATGCTGCGGCTGTTTGAGAGACATCCAAAATATTTTAAATATTCCCTGTTCCATGTGGCAATATCAGACTTGTGCTGTAGCTTGTGGCCAGAACTTTTTAACATCTTTTGTGATCACTTTTAATATTGCAATGGTTGCATTTTGATAAATAATCTAGTTTTTATTGATATTTTATTTCTCACGTTCTACCCACACTTCCATATGACAATGGTATTTTCAAACCTGCATCCTCCCAGAAACAAATCATCCTGCATTACTTTAGGTTGCACAGCAACAATTCTCTTATACATCTCCATATTCAGAGATATTCATCAAAATGGGCAAATCAAAACATGGACTAGCATATATTAATAAGCTCCTAGTGATATTTTGATGTCAGTCACCAGATAAAGCTTGACTTTTAAAAGTTTCAGTCTTGGCTTTAAGTCAGGGATTCCCAAATTGGGATGCTTATAACTTCAAAACAGAATTTCAGGAGATATGGCAGAGTATCTTGTGTCTTTGAGAAATGAGTAATGAGTTCATATGACATGCTTTTTGGTGTTGAATATACTTTGTAGAAGTAATTTCACACAGTTTTACATAGATAGTTAATTGAATAAAGCAAAGCAACTCAAGAGCTATCTCCTTATGGGAAGAGATGCCTTCATGGAGGACATTTTAAGAAAAACTAGTTTGTATCCACATTACACATGGAGGGAAACATAAAAAACAACCAGCCTGTTCACCAGGATTTGATCATAGGTTGAACTACCAGTATTCAGTGACTTTACTGTTCAGATGTTGGTGGGCCAGGATGAACCTTATGTACGCATGACAGAGAAAAATGTGGGAACTACTTGCCTATCTGATCTACTCTCTAACTTATCTGAAACTATTTGTTCAGAGATCATTTTAAAAAATGTCTAGCTATCAGCCATATGCATCATAAGGGATGATTTGTTCAAGAATTTATATTGGTTTATGATCTAGGCAACTGATTTTATCAAAAAATAAATGACTATCAAAAACTGTAAAAAATATTTTAAACACACTAGCTATACATATGATAAACTGTCACCTCGAATAATTACAACTTTCATAGTTTCTAATTCATTCATACAGTTTCCACCTGATACCTCATGTGTGCAAACTTCTCTAATCATTACATAATATAGTCAGGACACATAGTAATAATAAGATAATAAATATACAGTGCAACCATCCGATTAGAATTTGTGTATCATTTACATACAGGATATTAACTAATGTTATGAAACTTGTTGACTGTTAACAATCCTTGCAGACTTTTGCAATCTACAAATCTTGACTTTTAACAATAGCAAAATGTATAAATTCATCAAAGATTTTAATTCATAAATTTTGAATAACTTAACAACATTCTTACAGTTACATTAATATGAGGCAAAATGAAAATCAAATTAACCAAACTATAATATAAATTAACCAAACTATATATAAATCAATTGTTTAACAACATTTATAATATTGCGGTCAAGTACTGTTATATTGCATAAACATAATACTAAGTACTACATGATTTTTACATTTAATAGGATATTGCCAATACAGTGATACTTTTTAAATATTAAAACTTACAGGTTTCTTTTTAGCACTCCTAGGATTTTTACTAGCAGTTCGCTTTTTTTGGCCACCTCTTCTTGGAGCATAAGTTGGGTCTTTTTTCTCTGGTCTTTTCTTAGAAACTCCAGTTTTCTGACCTCTTGAAGCAAATGAATGAGAATCATTTGATTCTTCAGCAATTACAAGTGCAGAATCACTAGTTTCATCCTCACTTCCATCCTCAGGGATATCATTATTGTTATCAGCATATGTATCAGGAGAATCACACTAAAAAATAATTAATGAATTATTTGTATAAATTTTGAATAATATGTTAGTCTTAGAACTATACATATCACTGCCAGTTTCAAATGCTGTGCTTGCATAGCACTAATAACTATTTTGTACATTTTGCCTGATTTTTTTTCTCAATGAAAGAAATAAGACTCATATTACAGACAGGACAGATATTGTAATAATCTCTCCTCCTAGAGTTAACTGAAAATTTATACAAAATATACTTCAGAAACTGCACTGCACTGTAATTTGATATTATTCCTGCACAAATTTATAAATTATTATAATTGTTTCTTACTTGTCTGTATGGTTCTACAATGACCTTTTCTTGCTGTGGAGGAAGAGATTGAATATTTCGAAGCAAAGAAGGTTTCATTTCAATGTTAGAGTACCTTTGGCGCATATCTTGTACCTCTTCATCAGAATCATCTGACGATGATTGCGATGATGATGAAGATTCACTAGAAACTGAACTGGATTCTGAGAAATATATTTATCATAAGTATGGTATCTTATAATTATTCACTTTTTAAACATAAATAATCTTTTAAGTGTTTTTTAAATGTAAGGAAAATTTTCCAAGATTCAGTTTGAAATCCTTGTTAACCTATTTTCATAACATAAAACATATATTTCAACTTCTCACCAAGTCAACATAATGCATTATTCAAAAATAAAATATTACCATGAAGTGCATATAAATAGTATATAAGATGATATCTTACAAAAATTAACAAATATTGGAGCTTATCAAGGGATAACAATACGACAGAAAGAATTTCAAGCAAAAAAAATTAGAATATGACAAATATGGCCGAATTCTTACATAAAAAAATTTGACTTAAAAATGGGAAAACTAATATTTTGCACTGTTTGCTGTGCACATAAATATCACTATGACTTAAAGAATTTAAGATTAAGATGTTTAGGTAAAAGCATATCATAAAATAAACAAGTAAGACTACTACAAATAGTTAAAGTAGATTATTCTATTCATTGATATCTCAGACTCAAAATTCAGGATACTCAAAATGACATTTTAGGGATAAGGGAAGAAATCAAATGATTATTTCAGTTTGACAATACCACAAAGACCTTCATCATGAAGTCTAGCTTAATGCAAAGCGACACATCAATTGCCACAAAGCATTTACTTTGTCTGAAGAAATTAAAACCAGCCATTTGCTGAATCAAAGGCTAAAGTTCCACAAAATTAATTTATGAAAACAATAAACTCTTGTCAAATATAGGGGTATAATTCATAGTGCTTACAGCAAAATTACATTTCACAAAGTTAACTTTTCATGGAAAAAATGTGTTAGGTATAATTCAGATTAAGAAAGACCACTTGTTCAAAAAGTATCGAACCTTTGGTTGTCAAAAAATACATTTACTGACTTGGAAATCTGAAACACTAATTCTCTTCAAAGTAATCTCCTTGGTAATGGTTACACTTCTCTCAGCACTCCTGCCATTGTTGGAAACACCTCTAGAATGTAGTTTTTGGAATGAGAGCAATCATTCTGTCGCATTCTGCATGATGTCTTCTCTTGACTCAAATTGGGCCCATTTTAGCAGCATTTTCACCTTCGGAAACAGCCAAAAAAATCACATGGGGCCATGCCACATGAGTAGGAAACCTGACGAACCACAGGAATGTTGTGCTTGGCGAGGAAAGCCAGAATCAAATGCACAGAATGGGCAGGTGTGTCATCACGATGAAGCTGCCACATTTTCACTGTTCACAGATTCAGTCGTTTGTGCTGCACAGCACCATGAAGGATCTCTGGTAGTATTGCTTTGTGATGGTTTTGCCTTGCAAGGCATACCTTATGATATACCACACTATGGGAGTCACAGAAGATGGTCAACACGATTTTACTGTGGCCCTGCCATGCTTTTTTTTGGTCTCAGGATGACGGACACTATGATGATTGATTGCATCTTCATCACCTGTGACCCAGAAGGTTGAGGTCACTGCTGGCATTAACCAGCATGTTCTGTGCGATGTCTGGACACCATTGCTTTTGCTCCACTATTAGCAGCTTTTCAGTACAAATTTCGCAGACACTATCCTCATGCCCAAATCTTCGTGCAAAATTTAATGTACTGATCCGATGCTCACCTTTGTTTCATTTTCAATTTCTCAGACTGTGATAAAATGATCCAGAAAGGCAAGCGTCCGCACTTGCTCAACGAAATTGTCATTCCAGCTTGTTAAGGGTCTACCTGAATATATGGTTCACTATCCACTGATGTGCGGCCATTTTTGAAACATAGTACCACTCCTTGATGCGAGAGATGCTCATGGCATCATCTCTGAAAGCCTTTCGAATCTTATGAATGGTTTCTGTTTGGGTATCGCGAAGCTTTTGGCAAAATTTGATGCAATATCACTGCTCAAGTTTTTTAGTCATTTTACAACTATTCCACAAACACTGAAATCTTACGAACCCTCACTACATGTATTCACTCGTTGGCTAAATCGCAGCAACTTATGCTTTCAGCGGGTGAGAAAAAATTCACCAAAGCGCATGTGTATCCCCTCTACATCTTACACTGAAAAAAAAAATCTCCTTCACTTCATTGGTTTACTCTGTTAAAAATAAAAAATTAGGTTTTGATACTTTTTAAATGGCATATACTTAAATATTGCAGAAATTAAAAATAAAAAAGGAAGCTACAAAATAATGTAAACTGAATAGATTTTTATTACTGTTTAATAGATACATGACACAATTATTTTTTTTATCAGCTGATGATTTTTGTTTGGGGCTATGACTGATATAACCTTTAAAAGTTTCATGGTACGGATCGTTAAGTTTTTCAGTGTCTCTCATAAAGTCTCCTCCTCTTTCTTCATTTCAATATCCACTGCAAAATCGAGCAGTTCTTGTTCCTTCTTTAGCAATTTGTTCAACTTCTTGTAAGTTAAATATGTTTTTTTCTTCTTCATTATCACTGCATTCACCGTTGGCTGGTGTTATAGAAGATCATTCACTTTTTCATCCACCATTTCTCAATTCATTAATTTTTCCTTCTCCCATATCTGAATGCTTTTGCAATTTATATGATTATTTTTGGCTTCATTTTCAGTCAACTGGCCAATGCTGAAGTAAGGCAAGTGCCTGCCATAGGATTAAAAAGAATATTCAGTCGATGGAAATCCTTTAAAACTGTTGATAACTTCTAGACAAAGTTGATGCCAACAAGCATTCAAAATTGATGAACAAACACTGAACCATGTATGATTGTAATTTTAGCATTGGTTAAATAGAAACAATTAGGAAAGTGCGCAAATGCAAAATCGTGTTTCACAAATTTACGCTCAGCAAGGGTTTACTGTATGATTAATTTAGATGCAGTCGACTAATGGTTTAGAAAGAAATATGTATCAAAAGTCATATACGTTTTCACATGATTTTAAAAAAGAAATATCTATTGCTGTCAAGGTTATTTATACTCAGCTTCTCAAATGATGCAGTGCCGATTTCACCATTTCACCTGTGTGGTCTTGCGTCGTCGTCCTGTAACAAGAAAGCATCACCTATTGCCCCGGCATATGGGCTCACATAAACATCAAGGATGTCATCTCTATAAATCTAAGCATTCACGGTTTCCCTTGAAAAGACACGGAGGTCTGTGCGTAAACCCAAAGAGACGCCACCCCAAACACAGACACTGCCCCTTCCGTATGCATCTTTCACGGATGTTTGACAGATGATAACGGGTTCTAGGTTCTCTCCATATCAAATAACGCCTACTGTCGCTTTCTAGACTAAACCTGGACTCATCCGTAAAGAGAACCGCCCTCCATTGATCAGGCGTCCAGTGGACATGTTGTCATGCCCACTGAAAACGGTCCCTCCTATGGCCTAATGTGAGCGGCACAAAATAGATTTCGCTAGTATAAGACACCTTCGTGAAGCCGCAGGTTGTCAGATTTACGAAATAAAAATAAGCTAACTTTACCTATAAAATATACATATATAAATTAAAACAGTTTTTTCACTTGAATAATTATTAGTTTGATAGTGTTCTATTGGAAATGTAAAGTTTGCATACGTTCTGTGCTATCGCTATTTCATATGGCAATAATTACTTGAAACCTTACTTGCACACCACGGAAAAAAAAAAAAGAATGAATAATGAAAGCTTTGTAAATACTCTCGATATATGTCAAAATTTCAGAAAACTCTTTATTTAGAATTAGCGAGTACATAAAAAACAATTGAGAAATTAAGTGATTTAAAATTTGGTAATTAAGTGATGTATAAATAAACCAGTTAAGCTTCTCCCAGTGATTAATTATTCAACTGAGTTCCACTTTGAGACTGTTCATCACTGTCAAAAAAAAAAAAAAAAAAAAATCTTCTAAACTTGTACGTGTAATAGGCAAAGACTGACGAAAGAATGCAGAGACAAAGAACGAAAGGTTTTCATTTGCGAAAAGAATTATGTATTACTTATAATATGAATGCAGCAAGCATATTGGAATTATTAACAAAAAAAACTTTTCTGTGATTCAGAAATTTAGAAGTAATGAATTGGGAAACGTTTGTGACTTTACGAGAAAAAAATAATTCTATTAGAATGTTAATTTTTAACTTTGAAAGACAAATTTTATGTTTCCCAGCAATTTCGGCTTAAACAAAAAGTGACAAAAGAAAGCCCATTTTTTGATAAGTAAAGAAATTTCGGAGAAAAATGATAACACTAATTACTAATATATAATATTAGTAATCAAAGTAAGAAAAAATTGATTCTATACAGAATGTAGTACATTTTTCAGAAATGTTACATTTTAATTTGTTCATATTTTATATTTCTGTGGCTTCGTATAAATATATAAAAGCAAAGTATATATTTCAGAAAAATTCAGTTAACGTTTTAAATTAAAATAAAGTCTCAAATACATTCTCAAATACAATTTATGTATTTTTGTTCCAAAATTTTAAAGATAAAAAAGACAGATAAATTTTAGTTTAGAAATTATACAGATACTATATGCTTGGAAAAAAATGTATTATAGGATGTCGTAATTTTAAAACGAAAAAACAATTTAATTCTGATAACTGAAAAAAAAAAAATTTATATTTGTATTATAAGAATTTAAATTTTTTAACACTGTTTGAAATTTATTTTTTGCACACTCAAATCTTATCCCAATCCAGAGAGATTATGTAGTTTCAGTGTAAAATCAGCAACCAAATTAAAGGAAAACACGATTCTTAAATAAAGAATTTTTTTTTGTATTAATTCAGTTGCTCGAACTTTTTCATTTCAGCTAGATATCAGTTAGCTGTAGAAATCGGCTTATATTAGTCACACGTTCTTTATTATTTTCATCTTCAGTTTCAGTTATCTAACTCTAGTTATTTAAATTTTCCACTATGTTTGCTTAATATATATTAGGTGTTGAAAATAATTACTTGAATGTCACACTTAAGACAGGGTGTAGTATGACATTTTTGTTTATTTTCGTTTAGGAAATGAGGCCGCCTATAATGAGGG